CATGAATTAAAAATATTCCTAATTACGAGAATAATTAACAGTAATTTCTATTAATTTTATGCAAAAAATTGTAAAAATTATTCAAATCAAGTTATCGAAGTTAACAGGTTATAACTGAATGAATTGTTTTAAAAATCTAATAAACATTTTTCAATCGCAAAAAGATATTTAAATTTTCTGAACATAGAATTTAATGAAGAATAATTTCTTAATATATTTGTATTATTTGTAAATCTAATTAGAAAAAATATAGATCAAAATTATTACAATTTCTCCCAAAATTATAAAAAGTATATTATTGGCATAATTAAACTTACAAAATATATTAAAAGTGTGAGTATAGAAATTGTTTCTTATATAGTGAAAAACATATCAATATAAAGAAATGTGTTTAAAAACTATGCAACGCAATATTTATGTGGCGAATATCAATATTTATTAAAATTATGTAAAATTAATATCTTTTCAACCCAATCACTTCTTTTTTTATTCACTGGAGATGTATTAAAAGCAGCCCGCGCGGATTCTTAAATAAAAGTCAATTAACTGGAACTATTACAGAATATTTTCTTCTTAAGTGCATCATATGTAATAAATGTTTAATGTAAATTAATGTAAATTATATAATGTAAGAAAGTGACAAAATGAGACCGAAATTTTTTATCGTAATTTTATAAGTGTAACATCGAGAACAGTATGATCGATTAATGGCAATTGTAAGAAAAAAACAAGATACATTAAAAGTATGAGATGCAAAATAGAAAGTTTTGCTAAACTATTTAATACATCAAACCATGTATTTTTTACAACATTATTTTAATTCAACCTATAATTACTTATTTTATTTCTCAATGGACTGCAAATATACTTTGAGACTATATGCTTAAAATTTTTATATATTTTAAAATATATTTAATGCTTATAATATAAAAAAATTTAATTTAATTAAAAAATTAAATTAAAATTTAAAAAAATAAATATACACATTTATAATGTAATCGTCTTAGTAAATTTTTATACTAATTTTACATTTATTTAATTCCATTAATCTTTTAACAGCAAGTACATCTTAGAATTGCTATAAAAATCGATTATTTTCAAAGCGTTCTTGAAGACTCAAGCGAATTATTCTAAACAATCTCATCAGGGCAAAGTATTATTATTAAGAACATTTCTAAGAGAAGGGTGCCTGAAAAACCAAAACACTGCTGAAAAGTATGTGAAATGACATCGTAAACTATATAAAGTATAAAGGTATATAAGATAAATTTTATCCTTGTTAGAAAGAAAAAGAATATGCATTGTATTTAAATGTATATAATATAAAATTCTGTCACATATTTAAAATAAAAGTACGTGTAATATATAAACTATTCGTTCTTCTTATTATTATTAACTTCATTATTTGATTAAAAAAGTATTGCGTACTTTAAATATAGCAATAGATTTTTTAAACTGATTTTACACATTTATATATTTAATAATTTTAGAAAATATTAATATTTCTATCAAAAAAATTTAAAGAAAATGAATTTTAAAGAATAATAGAAAATATTTTAAAGAAAATCACTTACATTTACTAGAAAAATCAAAACAAAAATATATATTTTTATTATCAAATTTTATTATCAAATAACGATGATGAAGAAATCGTATTGATTTAAGGTATTGTTATTAATTAGAAAAATTAATAAAATCAAAACTAATTTGCTAACGGATATCAACAATTAAGTTGTATCAAATCATTGAATTTTTAAAGAATAAATATAAAAAAATTAATCTTTTTTCTTCACTAATAAATTATCTAGTTTACTTCCACATATATAATAATTGATAAATAGATGACAACATATTATCCTTCGAATCCAAAATTTTTATAATACATTAACATTTTAAATTAATTACAAATATTAAAAGTTATTACATTATACAAAATTATGTTTAAATGAATATTTAAAGTGTTTTTATCAATAAACGAAGTCAAAAACTCAATAGATCTACATGTGTCTTGAACTCTTCTTGAATTCTTTTTTCAATTCCTGGTAATATTATATTGTTTGGAGTTATATTAAAACTAACATATATTGCTTTTCCAAACTTCATGCTTAATCTCTTAGCCATATTTGTGGATGTAGCATTTGCTATAGAGCCCATAATTTTGGTTGCAATAGGCTGTTTCTCGAAACTTGATGTAAGAGCAAAAGACAAGTCTTCCATGCTGCCATTAACGGAATCTCCAATCCACAGATATAAAGAATCTTCCATCCTTATTATTTGGCAATTAATATTAGTATCACCAATTTTGGCAACAAAATTATGAAATTTGAAGCTGCATGGTAATAATTCTACTTTGGATTTTTTCTCTGCTGTATTTGCCATCATTTATACATATACTTTGGTTCCCTCTGTTACCTATAATAATTTTAAAACATCAAAAAAAATAAAAAAGCACAAAAGTACTTAGAATAATGATAATCATCTAATGATAGAAGATGCTCCTCACCTTCAATTTCACTGAAATTATGCTCATTCGATACATTTTTGTAAAATGAAAGAATCTGGCAGAAAATGTGCTCGTAAAGTGAGATATTAATTGTTAAAGTATTTTTTTAATAGTTAAAATTAATTATTATTAGGTTAGAAAATCTATTGCATCGACGACATAAGGGAACAGAAAAGGTAAGAAAAGTATTTTCTGTTTCAATTACACAAATTTTTTGCTTTCAAAATAAATTCTCTACTTACAAACAAATTCTCCTCTTCCAAAATACAAATTTTCTGCTTGAAAAACACAAATTATCTTAATATACAATAACAATGTAATATCAATATACATTATGTAATGTAACAGTTATTAATTTACAATGTATTATTTATATATTTCGTAATTTCGAATATCCTTAATTCATTTCATGCTTCAATCAACAATGTTTTATTATAATACAAATACCATTTTATATATGACATCAAGATTCAAAACATATTCATTATTGATACTATTAAGTGGATGTACCATTTTTGATTATAGAACAACCAAATTCATGGAAAAAGATAGTAAAAATTGTATTTTTATTATTTACCAGACTATGTATTTTTATAGTTTTCTATTTTATTATGTTTTACTGGATTATTAAGTTATACACAAGCTATATTCACATAACATTAATAATGTCCTAATCGGTGCCGAAATATCTGTTTTATTTATAACTTATGCATATAATTTAAATATTAAATAATTTATTTAGCTCATAGTCCTTATATTTATCATTGTAAACAAATGATTTTCTACATAATTTTTGTTTTTACAATAGAGAATTTTTATTTTAAAGCAGAGAGTTTAGATTGTGCATGCATGTGTGTGTGTGTGTGTGTGTGTGTGTGTGTGTGTGTGTGTGTGTGTGTGTGTGTGTGTGTATGTGTGTGTGTGTGTGTGTGTGTGTGTTATAATATTGTTACATAATATCCTGAGTAGTTCTTAGCCCTATATCATATTGTTTAACATAAAGCAGAGAATTTGTAATTGAAACAGAAAAGATAATTGTGCAATACAATTTAGCACCTCAAAAATCGATAAAATTAAGTTTATTCGACACGTTTTTTTGCTTGAAATGAAAGAATCTAGCAAAAAAAACATCACTCTGCCCTATAAGCCCTATAAGAAATGCCCTATAAGAGATATTGAGCATTAAAACATTGACAACTATTAAAGTTATTTCACCTCCTATTTCGATGAAAAGCTCATTCAACACGGTTTTGCGTAAAATGAAAGAATCTGGCAGGAAAAAAACGTCGTTCTGCCCTATGAATAGAGATATTGAGCGTTCAAGTTGACAACTATTGAGGTTAGGAAATCTGTCATGTGGATAGTAGATATAGACAATAGTATTTATTGGTTCGGAGCGGTTACGCAAACAAAAAATAAGTAACATATCCTACTCGCTTGAGGCTTAACTGCCTAGAAGTTGCAGATTGCAGCCTGGACTTAATAAAAAGATTAAAGTCCTATATATGAGAGAAGCGACATCGGCATCGCGATTTCTGATTGGTGTTATTCCCCCATCTAATTGAAATAGCCATATTGTGCCCGCAGTAGAAAGCTATCATATGTTTACTTTCTACAGCTGAACTGATACATACACATACCTAAAATAGAGAATAAATATATTTAATATTTGACAAAAGTGAGGAAAAAAATTTTAGAACAGTCCAATAAGAAACTTATATTTGAATCGACATATTAGGTAGGCGTTTTTTTAATGCCATCTAATGGGAAAAACGCCACGAACTTTTTCCCACCTAATATTAATAAAAGGCTTAAACACAATAGGCAACAGTGAATAACAAGCCATCAATTAAAGCTCTGGTATGTAAGTTCGATATTATCCCAGAGCTCTGATTGGACAGCTCGCTTTATTCTCTATTCTCTGTGCCTATTGCTTGTGTCTATTTAAGCCTTTAAGAATAAGAAGATATATTTCAGTGTTTGTACACTTATTAGCTTAGGTTATAATATTTAGATTATATTAGGTGTAGTAAAAAGAAATCCATTATTTTTGCATAAAATTAAATGGAAAAATAATGGATTTCTTTTTACTACACCTAATAATTATTATTATAAATAAACATATAATTTATTTTATTATTTTTTTAATAGCTTCGTAGAACATATCTCATTCTTCATTTTCAATATCAGAAAGCATTGCATTTAATTTATTTAGGTTTGCGTGTTTCAGACAGACGATTGTTTGTGAAGCTTTATCAATTTGAAGTTGATCGATTGATTTATTATTTGCAGTATTACAAAAAATTTTTGGATTGCATTGATTTCTCAAATTTGTTAAAGGTTGATCCATTTTGCACTAAGAAAAATAGCTATGTCAGAAAAACTTAGTAGAAAATATGACTATTCATAACAAATATACATATATACATATATTACAATATGTACATTTACAAATGAAATGTGAAATACAAATGAAATATGAAATACAAATGAAATAATTAATGACAATTAAACTAAATAACCTGATCTATGTAATCTTTTATTTTGTATCTTTGTATTTGCGAAATACTTCTTGGCAAAATAAAAACATAATCATGTTAAAAATACATAACGTTATTGCAATAATACATTCAATAAAATTATAAAACTAATTGTATACAATATGCTGTTTACCTTTTTATGTAACATTTTTAATTGCATTATTCAATCGCTATATTATTCAACAAGAAAACACAAAACATTAATATTTACTTAACCTCATCCTGATGGAGTTCTTATAATGGAATAAATAGTTTCATTGGAAACTGGTCAGCTGAACAACTGGGTTAAATATGGCGTGCTGAACATATGCTAAAGGTAGTAGTGGGGGATGAATGTCGCTTCTCTCATGTATAGGATTCTAAAAAAAACTGTTTTCACACAGAATTGCCAAGTTGAAAAGAATAATTTCCTTAGAATTTATAGTAAAATTTCCCAAGAAAAAAATTCTTGAAAACAAAATGTGAGAAGTTCCGAATAAATTCCTAAAAAAGTAGAAAATTTTATAAAAATTTAGAGAAAGAAATCACAAAATATTTTTTATTTTATGTTTAGTAAATAATGGCACAAACTGGAATGTAAACAAATTATTTTATTTTAATAATAAAATAATAAAAGTACACAAATATAACATTTATATAATGTTGCGAGCTATATAACTATTAGGTGTACAACTTTGCTTCCGTCGTTTTCCTATAGATGGCTTTAGCAGTGGTCGAAATAAATAGATTATAGACGTTATACAATAAACTTGAGCATCTGTCAACATAACCCTATAGAAACATTAGTCGATTTGTGTCTGCATCATAAAGTTATTCTCGATTGAAAATGTCAGTTTACGAGCCAAATTCTCGTCATTTGCGGGAGGTTTAATTTTTTGCTTCAATATGAAGAAATCTGCGGCTGAGGCTCATTGAATACTCTCAAATACTTATGGTGAGGCCGCTATTAGTGAAAGAACATGTCGTGAGTGGTTTCAACGCTTCAAGAACGATGATTTTGACGTCCAAGGTCATGCTCTGTATTTGGTGGGACCAGCTCGGCGTAGTGTATTATGAACTGTTAAAACCGACTGAAACAATCACAGGCGATCGGTATCGAACGCAATTGATGCGTTTGAGCCGAGCATTGAAAGACAAACGACCTTAATACAACGAGAGACACGCTAAAGTGATTTTGCAGCATGACAATGCTCGACCCCAAAAGTGATCAAGACATACTTGGAAACGTTGAAATGGGAAGTCCTACCTCACCCGCCATATTCTCCAGACGTTGCTCCCTCTGACTATCACTTGTTTCGATCAATGCACACGGCTGACCAGCACTTCCGGTCTTATGAAGAAGTAAAAAATTGGATCGATTCATGGATAGCCTCAAAAGATGACCAGTTTTTTCGACGCGGGATTCGTACGCTACCCGAAAGATGGGAGAAAGTTGTGGCCAGCGATGGACAATACTTTGAATCATAAATGTATAACCAGTTTTTTACAATAAAGCCTCGAATTTCGGAAAAAAATGGTGGAAGCAAAGTTGTATACCTAATAAAAATAAATTAAAATGTATTAAAATATTTTTAGATGTAAACATTTTAGAAAGAAATATACTCTTAACAAACTTAATAAAGTAATATGACATCAAAGTTGAGATCATTTACTTAATAGAAATAGGAATTTTCAATTATATGTTAACTTATTATCATCATGTATATACATTAGTTCAGTCATAGAAAACAAAACAGGGCCCTATTCTTGAACACATATGAATAATATTCGTATATGAAAATGACAGTTTCTCGATTATGACTGGCCGATTGTATATGGAATTGCTATTTTTATATGTGATATTTGTTCAAGAATAGGGCCTCTGTAATGCGTCAGGCGGCGACTGCGATATCTATAATCTATAGAAATTCGTTAGAGAATCTCTATAACATACAGTTGCAAAATATGTAGTTTTATATATTATTTATATTTCATAACAATTGCGTTGTAACTTTCTTTCGTATTTAAAAAATTATAAAATTTCCTGATATTTTTCCTTAAATATTGGAAAAGTTTAAAAGTTTCAGTAGATTTTGATTAAAATTCTGTTTTCCTATCATTCATTAAATTTCATTGAATCTCAGGAAATTTCCCGAGACTTGGCAATCCTGTTCTCACACTCCATTGTCTTTATGGGTTAGAAATATTCCAAACAGTACTGCCAGACATGCCTCGCACTCGCGCATACGCGAAGTCTAAAGCGCCAATAGAGTATCTAATCCATGAAATTAGCATCTTTAGTTGCCCCAAAGATAAATAGAATTATAAATATATAGAAATTAGACATATCTCTTATTGTGAGGTATCAAGTTCTACATTAACACTATTTACATTATATGAGAAACTGATTCGGCATGCTTTGATAAATTATATCGACAACATTTAAGCGAAATATTACAAATTTTATACCAAGTTATTCTCTGCCAACCAACATTTAAAGATATTTTCATCTAATAATCAAGATCTTTTAAATTTTCGGATACATATCTTTTTTTAGGCCTTTTTCCTAACTCCATTGTGATTCATTTTCTGATCTAAAATACTTTATCTCATTTCTATTTTTCTCTTGGATTTCTCGCACCTCCTGTTGTCCGATTTGGCGCGCAGACTTCGTGGTCCACACGGCACCACATCGTTATTTTAATCTAACCTAACCTAATGGCTGCGCTAAGCTGTAAGCAATGCGTATGTGCAGGGCATGTCTGGCATCACTGGTTCCAAGTGGACTGGACACTGGGTGTATTCAATACTACTAACTGCTCTCTGAGGGTGCGTTCCGTTTCTTGCATGATGTGCATAGATAATCGTTCCGTTTCATCTAATGCGCGCATTGGTAGCGCATGGAATTTTCCATATTCCCCCCACCATTAGCGTATGAGAGCGCATCAGCTACTACAGTTCTGTAGCAGTTAATGCGCGCATTTTGACGTATTTTTGAATTGCACGTGCCTCCATACTGTATATACAAATATACAATAGAGTAGAAATCTTTGGATAAGTTGAAGGCAGGGGTAATTCGCCGATCGGCGAAAATCTATTAATTAATTATTATTATCTATTGTTATCTATTATTTAATATCTATTATTTATTTATTTTTAATATCTATTATTTATTTATTATATCTATTATTTATTATTTATTATCTATTATTTAATTACACATTTTGAATCACACTGACACATACGTTCGCATCAAATGCATGAAACCATTTCGTTTCTAAGCGCGCATAAAGCACATTGGTGAAATGGAACGATATAGATGTGCATTGATTGTTATATATGCGTTTGATGCGAGAAACGGAACACATCCTGTGTTCAGTGAGCTCTTGCATCTAATTGGCATATTCCGTTAAAATTAATAATATAGATCAAACAGATATAAGAATACTCAGTGAGCGGTCGTAATACTGAATGCATCTACCGTCTAGGCTGCAATGGTTAGTAACCCCAAGCGAGTAGGATATTTTTATTTCGTTATTTGAGGCGGCGCTTTGAACCAATAAGCACTAGTCTATGCACTCCATTATCTATATGATTTTCTAACTTTAACAATGGCCTAGTTTCCACCAAGGATTTAAACCAGATCAGAATGTAAGAATCAATCAACTATAGTCGAGCATTCCCCTGTTGTTCGATTGTAACAGGGGAATACTTGATTATAATTGGTTGGTTCTTACATTCTGATCCGGATTAAATCCGAAATTAGGTCAATAACAATACAATCATAGAAGTGCGCCCCTTTACATGAGGGAAGGAGGGGAGGTGAGAGTGGTTTCGCGATTGACTTGAGAAAGTCAAAATGTAGAATAGTACAATTATAGACCTCATTTTGCCTCTGTGACAAATTTCCTAACCTCAATAGTCGTCAACTTTAACGCTTAATATCTTGGTTTGTGGGACAGAACATTTTTTTTCTACCAGATTCTTTTGTTGCATGAAAAAACGCGTCAAATAAGCCTAATTTTATTTACTTTTATGCTGCGGTACCTATTCTGTATAATTATATAATAACCTTGAAAAATTATATTTCATTTTAATAAACAAATTATTAACATAAAGTTAGTAATGTTTAAATTATATTCATCCTAGGTGCATCTTTCATGTGAATACAACACACAAAACTTGCGTGATTATGAAAAAGTATAGAATAGCGCTGATTGGTTGCTTCAATGATTTTGCAACCCTTTTTTGCACTGTGTGATTTCACCTTAAGGAGGTGCAAACCCATCTAGCGAAATAATCCCGGATCTAATGGATGCTTTCCATTTGATGACACAAGTCGACACAAGCTCGTTCTATTGTTGTTGGCATTCAGAGAGAGACAAACGCCGATATTCATAATCAATTCTTATTCAAGATCATCTTAAGTAATGTCTTAAGATACTAATGCAGCCTTCTGATTGATTCGTGACTTTTTAAAATCATATTTAAAACGGTTATAAATATAAGATCTGACTATAAATACTGGCCAGAGTTTTCCAGTAAGAAACACAAATTGATAGAGTGCTTTCCATTTGATGACACAAGTCATAAACGATCATAAGCGTCGTTCTATTCTTCTTGACATTCAGAAAATGACAAAGATAGTGTAGATTTGTGTCATCAAATAGAAAGCATCTAATAGAGTTCTAAGCCTTAAATCATAAGGACGAATCATAGTTGATTATTCTACTCGAATTCGTCTGTAATTGGTCAATTTCTTACTTAAGGTTTAACACACCTATTGTAGATCTATATGTGCTATATGTAGCGATTATATGAACTAAATATCATCTCCAACTTTGAAAAAGATGATGTACCCTAAGAAAAGTGGACGTTGCTATGTAGTTTCTCATTTTGTCAGAGAACAGTAGTACACGACATCATTTTGCAGTTACAGGTTTTGGCTTGTCCTCTCTCAGGTTTCTCTCTGTGATGCACTTCTTGATTTGCATGCGACATGTATCTTAAGAATAGAAACGTTATCAACGTTAAAAAAGAAATATGTAAAACAATTAGACAAAAATAAGTTTTCGCGTATCTTGTAAATATGAAAATCTACACATTCTTCCTTCTCAGCGATCGCGAACGGAACCGGTGTAGTAGAGTATGAGCATGGAGTATAAAAAATAAAATTGAACTAGATTTTGAAAAGTGTCAAAATCAAGTTTCTGAATTAGTATTGGTGCTCGATAAGCGACGTTCGAATCGCAAAACTCCTTTCATATATGTTTACGCAACTGAACACACACAACCTAAAAATAGAGACGTTATTCTTTGACATCATGCTTTGACAATAACATAAAAACATAAATTGTCATTAAAACTGTATGAAGAATGGAGTAATATATTCATGTAAAATTGGTATGATTTGCCATGCAAACTGCGAGAATGATGTGGAACGAAAGCGACATCTCAATCGAACTAATTCAGATGACCACTATTGTCCATGCTTGCCCATGTAAATTCGGCCTATTCTCTATACTCCATGAATATGAGGTTAAGTATCAGACCCTTATGCTTATCTAGTGTTACATGTCTGAACTACCTCAATTTCGTCACAGCTCTTCTAGGCAAAAATAAGTGGAATCACCTATTATTCTTACACCGTGATTTATACCTACTATACGATCGATTTAGACGCTCACACGCTTTAAGCGCTTGTAATCATTGTTCTGTCTTTATCGTTCATTAGACGTAAAATAGGAATAGAAGTATTGAAAAGCTCAAAAAGAGTCCAAATCGACCGCAGCCATCCTGCAGGCGGTCGATTGTGTCTTGAAATAAGGTGAAAATTACAAAAGTAAACAAATTTACTAGAATATTCATAATTTAATTGATCAATATCTAGTAATCATTGCTCCCTTTGTAATTTTCATCTTATTTCAAAACACAATCGAGCCCCAGGTGCCTTTTTATGCTGACGTTCTATTTTCACTTTCGGAAGCGATTCAATTGCATACTATAGTAATTGCTCCCTGCCAGTCATAGCAACTTCTGTCTAGGGAGCTGTTTATTTTTTTTCTAACGCTGATTGGCTTGTGCGCAAATGGCTCGTGTGCAATTGCAAGCCTTTCCTCATTTTCAGCGTCAAAATAGATCACATGATCAAAATTAACGCTTGATATTCATTAATTTCTATCACGTGACTGATTTTGATGACGAAAATGAGCGTTGAACATCAGCATGAAAAGGCACCTTGAAGTCTAATGCTTCCTGCCACAGACTTCAAGGTTGCGTTCAGGAATTACGTCCAGATAATTCCTAGCTATAGGTTATATTACGTATATTATAGAAAAATGCACTCTAAAGTTATCTAGGCGAACTCCTGAACGTAGCCCTATGTGCTTTCCACTTTGACGACACAAATATCGTTCTATTGTATTTTTGTAGAACAGAAAAAGAAAGAAGTGAGATAGGAATTTAGATAGCGTTACTGAGCAATTTATTCATTTCGCGTATGCGCACTCCATTAAAGTCAAGGCCAATATAAAGTCAGGAGAATTGCGCTACTGTATATACTGTGTCAAAAATCTGTGCTTCCTGCTCGCTTCGGCCCTCTCTCATTCTCTCTCTTTAGTGTCTTTCTCTGATTGTACTCTGCACGTGTAGATGTTAAATCTTGTTTTAATTAGTTAAAAAAATATGAAAGTAAAGAAAGAAGACGTGATGTTCAAGGAGTTAGTCTTGAGGAAAAATACTAAGAATATATTGAAGCCAAAAGCAAGTGCCAGTCTTGAGAAAGCTGTGAAAAATGTCAAGCAAATTTTTAAGGTATCGACATAACCTCCATAAAATGAAAAATTTATCGTATGTTGCTTCATCTAAATAATTTTTGGAAGTTCACAACGAGATTGATCACTAACTTTTTTGTTTATTAGAATTAGAATTTTAATAACCAGATATATACATATATATATATATATACATACACACCTTTGGATCCCTTAATACACACCTTTGGATCATTCCCTGCGCATTTATTTTCTTTGAAATATAAGAGCACTTTCAAATATCAATCTCTTTTATATTCATAAAAAAAAGTTTGGCATTTAGAGAACAAATTTTGTACATGCCAGCCTTAATTCTTGCATATCCTTTAATTAGAATAACTTCATTGAACTTTCTGGATTCTAAATGATCAGTGTGTATAAAATACATTTTTATAACTAAAAAAAATTTTTTTCTTTATTCTCATTTCTTATTTACACTATGGGAATATTTCGCGAATTATCACCATAACAAAAAAAGAATTTAACCCTAAAACAATATATTAGCTTTTAATAAACATGATAGTTTTTGGTCCTTGTGCTGTCTGTAACATTATATATTATGTTGTCTGTAATATTAAAGCATTTAAAACATTTTTAAAATAAATTATAAGTTTTTTTTTAACACAATAGCAATAATAAAGTGCATTGTTTAAATGCAATATATATTCACAATTTATAGCCATTCATGCATATTAAAAAAACATCATTTTCAGATTTCTAAATACCTAAATTTTTTGGACAGTCGACATTTGAACTATTTTTTCTTTTGTAGTTTGGAATGTCAACTTTAAGATATTAAAACATATTTTTCTTTTAAATGTTTTTGTTTCAGAGTTTTACATTTTTGTTTGAAAAGATGCATTATTCTTATTTTGTTAACTTTATTTATGTTATAATAATTTATGTATAATTATTATAAATATACAACTTTACAAATACTCAAAATATACGTAAAAATCGTTTCATCATTTTTATATATGTCGTAACAATGTTAAAATTATATTAAATAGCTAAGCGTACGTTTTGGCTGTGTATTTTGAGTCATCCTCAGTGAATCTATTAAAATATAATAATTTATAAATACGGTATATTTCATTAATATAAATTCTTGCGAATGAAAAGAGCAATCATGGTCCATGAAAGAAGCAATCAAACAATTTATCACAAAATCATTCAAATACAGTTACATAGTTGATTGGCAGAATCACATGAAGCATGGCAACATATTTTCACCAAAACGAAAAAACCAAGAGACTTCAGCATCAAGATTATGATAGCCATCTATTAATAATGCAAAAAATTTTTCAAATGAATTAAATGAAAAAATTAATGACTGTATGATTGACGCAGACATGTTACTACTGTATATCGTCCAAAGAAAAAAAAGACTGATTCCCATGGCCCCATTATTTGCGTTTTATTGTTTTAATTGAATTCATTATTGTTAACAGGAATTCATTATTGTTAATTTTTGAATTGTAAATTGTTTTATAACTGCAATAAGTTTTATAAAAATATATTTTTAGACTGGAAAAAGTCGCGGCTATGGTTATGTTGAATTCCTTCACTCACAAGTTGCTAAAATTGCGGCAGACACAATGAACAATTATCTAATGTGTGGCCGATTATTAAAAGGTGTTTAAAATATTGTAATAACACTGTTAATTAATTGTTTTTCATTATTTATAAATATGTTTTTTAGCTACATACATTCCACCCGAGAAGCAACATTCTGGATTTTTCTTAGGGATAAATTGGTCAGAAGATAAATATCCTAGACTCAAAAATAGAAGACGAACAACTCTAAGTAGAAACCTTCTTCAAAGTGCTGGAGATCATGAGAAATATGTTCAAAGATTGCTTGATAAACTTTCTGCATTAGAAAATAAATTGCAAGAGAAAGGAATCAGCATAAAATTTCAACCCGTTGACATATAAAAAATGTAACAAACATTTAAAAATGTAATTCAGCTCTAGTTTATTTATAATTAAGATTAATTTGTAATTTGTATTTGTATTAAATAACTTAATAAACAATAGGAAATTATTTTATAATACAGAGCTCTACTATACCTATAACATTATTATAATAAATTTAAAAAATTTTATAAGTTATGTTTGTATCTATAAATTATTTTTTCTCCAAAAACAAGTCCGCAGTTTCTTAATTGTCAGAACTATGACGACTTCTGCATATGTATGGGACTTACAATTTTAACGCCGCGATTCGAATGGTTTATCAGAAGAGATTGATATGATAAAGATATCGATTTATCATTGCGTGCTTTCTAATTGTTAACACATCGTAACACAACGTATACAGGAATGTACAAGTGTAACATTGTGTACGATTCAATTGGAACAGAATGTGTACGCTGTGCACGGTTGAGATCCGTTTCGGATAGAGTTAGGCTCCACACAATAAAAGGAACAGAGAATAGAGAACAAAGAATAAGAATTTCAATCTATCAGAAACTGTGTATTCCACAATATGATTTCTGATAGGTCAAAATTCTTATTCTCTATTCTCTGTTCCTTGTTCCTCTTATTATGCGAAGCCTCTTAGATTAAATGTAGCTTTTTCCGCCTGTATTAAATAAAAAAAATAAAAATGCCGGCCACTCAATGTCTTCCAACCTTTATATTATAGCTGCCGCAGTTAGTAATTATATTATATTATAATTGTCACTAGAAAACACCAGCTTACACAGCCCTCGACTGAGTACAGATGTGTAGTGTTATGTAGACGATAATGGATAATTGGAACGCAATTTGTATCGCCGAGTGCACGAAAATGTCCAGAGATATTGAAAAGCATCCATTATTTTCCAAGAGATATTGGCTCAAATCCATTATATCTTTTGGATAAATATAAAATCGAATCTTTGGTACAGAGAAATAAAGTATACGTAATTCTTTACGCCATAATCGTCACAAATATAAATTATATACAATTAAAATCTAAATATATTGAATAACGAACTCGAGAAATATATGTCACGATACAGTGGTTGCTTCCTGTATGTTCGCCGTGTTTCCTTTCGTTCGTTTCCATTTCATACGTCTATTCTGAAACCACACTTTTACCTGTAAAAAAAATATTTAATGATGAAAAAACAAAAATTCTATATTTTATTATTTTTATAATTGTTTATATTGTACCTGACGTTCCGTTAAATCCAATGCTACAGCAATTTCATAGCGGCGCAAACGTGTCAAATAATTACTATGTGCGAATTCACATTCAAGATGACGGATCTGTTGCTTTGTAAACGCAGTTCTCTCTTTTCGCGGCTTAT